AAAGTGAGAAAGAGAAGGTAGAAAGAGAGGGTGGAAAGAGAGAAAGAGAGAGATAGAAAGTGAGAAAGGCTGAAAGAGAGTAACAGACACGAAATTTAAATTGAAAAAGAAAAAGTAGAATAGAGAGAGAGAGGGAAGTGGGTTAGCCGGAACTTTTGGGATGAAGAGAGAACGAGAACACATTAGTAAGGGTGCTAGAGAGAGAGAGAGAGAGAGAGAGAGAGAGAGAATAATAGAAAGTGAGAAAAGCTAGTAAAGGAAACGTAAGATAGAGAAAGAGAGACAAATGAGCAGTTACAAAAGACAAGATATATTATATATAAGTGAACGGATTAGGTCTAAAACGAGTGAGCAAGAGTATGAGAGGGAGTAATAGACAGAGAGAGAGAGAGAGAATTAAAATTGAGAAAGAAAATGAAAGAGAGGACAAAGATTTCTGATACGAATCTATTGAGATAAATAGACAATAAATTAAATCTAGAGAGACACAGAGAGAGTAATAGGGAGATATACAAAATTAAGTTAGAAAAAATAGGTAAGGCTATGACAGAGAGTGGTGTGTTACCACGAATGTAAAGAGATAAAGATTCGAACTATAAAAAGAGAGAGAGAGAAATAGAGGGGAGAGTATTGAGTAAAAAGAGAGAGAATATTAAGTGAGAAAGAAAACGGGTGACAGAGAGATAGAGTTTAGAAATGAACTTAAAAAAACGCATAATAGAAAGAAGAGGAGAAAGAAAAGAGAAAGAAGAGGAGAAATAAAAGAGAAAGAAGAGGAAAAGAAAAAGAAAAAGAAAGAAGAGAAAGAAAAAAGAGAAAGAAGAGGGGAAAGAAGAGGAGAAAGAAAAAAGAAAGAAGAGGAGAAAGAAAAAGAGAAAGAAGAGGAGAAAGAAGAAGAGAAAGAAGAGGAGAAAGAAAAAGAGAAAGAAGAGGGGAAAGAAGAGGAGAAAGAAAAAGAGAAAGAAGAGGAGAAAGAAGAGGAGAAAGAAAAAGAGAAAGAAGAGGAGAAAGAAAAGAGAAAGAAGAGGAGAAAGAAGAGGAGAAAGAAAAAGAGAAAGAAGAGGAGAAAGAAAAAGAGAAAGAAGAGGAGAAAGAAAAGAAAAGAAGAGGGGAAAGAAGAGGAGAAAGAAAAAGAGAAAGAAGAGGAGAAAGAAGAGGAGAAAGAAAAAAGAGAAAGAAGAGGAAAAAAAAAAAAGAGAAAGAAGAGGGAAAGAAGAGGAGAAAGAAAAAAGAAAGAAGAGGAGAAAGAAAAAGAGAAAGAAGAGGAGAAAGAAAAAGAGAAAGAAGAGGAGAAAGAAGAGGAGAAAGAAAAAGAGAAAGAAGAGGAGAAAGAAAAAGAGAAAGAAGAGGGGAAAGAAGAGGAGAAAGAAAAAAGAAAGAAGAGGAGAAAGAAAAAGAGAAAGAAGAGGAGAAAGAAAAGAGAAAGAAGAGGAGAAAGAAGAGGAGAAAGAAAAAGAGAAAGAAGAGGAGAAAGAAAAAGAGAAAGAAGAGGAGAAAGAAAAAGAGAAAGAAGAGGAGAAAGAAGAGGAGAAAGAAAAAGAGAAAGAAGAGGAGAAAGAAAATAGAAAGAAGAGGAGTAAGAAGAGGAGAAAGAAAAAAGAAAAGAAGAGGAGAAAGAAAATAGAAAGAAGAGGAGAAGAAGAGGAGAAAGAAAAGAGAAAGAAGAGGAGAAAGAAAAGAGAAAAGAAGAGGAGAAAAAAAAAAGAGAAAGAAGAGGGGAAAGAAGAGGAGAAAAAAAAAGAAAGAAGAGGAGAAAGAAGAGGAGAAAGAAGAGGAGAAAGAAGAGGAGAAAGAAAAAGAGAAAGAAGAGGGGAAAGAAGAGGAGAAAGAAAAAGAGAAAGAAGAGGAGAAAGAAGAGGAGAAAGAAAAAGAGAAAGAAGAGGAGAAAGAAAAAGAGAAAGAAGAGGAGAAAGAAAAAGAGAAAGAAGAGTAAGTTTGAGGGAGAGAGACAGAAAGAAAGAAAGAGAAATGTGGACTGGTATATATATAGAGAGAGAGTAAAAAAAAAGACATTTAACGGGACTCGAAAACAAGTGAGAGAGATAGAAAGAGAGAGAGGGAGAGAGAGGGAAGGAGGGAGGTAGGGAGACAAAGAGAAGTGGGCGTGTACAAATAGTGACGTTAAAATGAGGAAGGGGAAAGTAAGAGAGAGAACTGAGAAAGAAAACGTAAGAGAGACATAGAGAAAAAGAAGTGGACAGGGAGTGGTATTTACTCTAAAATGAGAGAGGGGAGAAGAATAGAGAGATAAATATATAAATTAGCTGAACCTTAGAGAGAAAGAGAGAAAGAGACAAAGAGAAAGAAATAGGCTGACACAAGCGTAGAAAGATAAAGAAAAAATACGTGAGAATTAAAAAGAGTAAAAGAGAGAGACAAAGAGAAATTGAACGGAAATCGAAAACGAGCGTGTGAGAGAGAGAGAGAGAGAGAGAGAGAGACAGAAAGAAGTGTGCGGGTACAGATATTTACTTTAAAATGAGAGAGGGGAAATTGATAA